AAAATGTTTTGTGTATGACTCGGTAATGAGTTAAAATGATTTTCCAGTACGGTGTGTGTGTTCCAAAGCGTGAAAGACACTAATGGGCCTGGCCCAGAGAACCGTGTACACCTCTGGGCCTGCCTATCCGAGCATCTTGGCATCTGCGTATTCACGTATCCGCATCTTGGCAAGACAATGCGATGCCTTTCAAAAAACAGAGCCAACAATCGGACCCGACTCTCTTTATTGTTGGCCATGTTTCATGTTTCCATGTTTTCATGCTTTTTCCCCCCAACTCAAGTCAAAACTCTGACAAGTTCAATCAACCGTTGAGGTTGAGGCGTGAACTGGAGGAAAAGCTTAAAAAAAATGAAGTAAAATAAAAAATAAAAAATGAAAGCAATTGCCAATGTAAATGTAAATGTAAATGTAGATGCGAAATGCAAAGCATTTTCCAACTGAAAATGTGCGACTTTTAGCATGATGAAAAATGCAATTTACGATTTATGATAATTACACACGTCAAGTCAACCCGCAGAAAAGAAAAACGACCGGGCAATTGACTTTTCCTTTTTAACCAAAAGTCGGCAAACAATTGAGGTTCCCGAACCCCAGACACATTAGGACCATTTTGTGTCTGCAACACGCGACATTTACGTAAAGCAAACAACATACAATGCAACATTGACTTGTGGCATTTTCCGCAAAACAGCCAACGGGAAACGGGCCGGCAAATGTACCGCTTTGGACGCCTCTTTTTTTTTATTGTTTCGATTTTCCATCCTCCATTTGCTTCTTCCCTCTGGCAGTGTCTTATGTTCCCCTCCGATCGTCGATCTTTGCTCTTTTCCAGACTTTTCATTAGCCACTGCTGAAGATGGCCAAAGTATGGCAAGTATGCTGCAGCCGCAGCTTCTTCTTGGATCTCCGGGCTGAAAGCAGCCCACATTAATTGCCAACCGATCCAGATTCAGACTGAGTCGTCCAGCTGACTCTACTCAATGGTGTTCTTCGTCATGGGAATGGGCTGCTCTTCTCCTAGTTGGGGCCTAATGGTCGCAGAAGCAGCTTTGGGACTCAAGTCATCATAAATACTGCTTTGTTATGACAAAACCAATCAAACCAGTCAATAAATGTTGTAAAATCTTCGTGTTATCTTAAGTATATTAAATTTTTCTTTGAAAATCAAACAAATTTAAGTGCAGAATTTCGGATGATCAAAGCACATAAAAGTGGAGGATCAATAAAGTATATTTATAACTATATTTGAATAAAATTATATAATAAATGGGGGATAGTTTTTTCAAATCCTTTCAGGTTGTTTGTAGAATCTGTTTTGCTTTCTTGACTAGGGACTACAGCTACATCTTTGCTTACGATTAACGTTTTAAGTTTAAGATTTTATGAACATATTTTTAATTTATTTACTATTCTTATTCTATTTTCTAATATATCCATAGATCAATAGATATTCGTAGTCTTAATTGTCTGAAATTTTTCCAGCCTGACCACTGGACAAAACACGATCGCTTCTTTTACACAGACACTATCTATAACGATAACAGGTGTTTTGGCTGGCAGCGCTTTTGATTTAGCATTAACAAATGGTTAATTAGCTGCAAAAGGCGACCACAAATCTTAATGGTTTCAAAAGGCGTTCGATTTGTGGATTGAAAATCCAATTGGATTTTCCGCAACTTCAATTGATTCGCTGCACATTTTCCAAAGGTGGCTACCGCAGATGCTTTTCCAGTTTTATTTTCTGTGGTTTCTTCTCGATTTTTATTTAGTTTTTTTGCGCTACTCGTAATAACAATTTGGTATTGTGCGCTTCCCACGCCAGAGAGCATAAAACCAAAGCCAAAGTGTGGGTGAAGTGAACACGAAGAGTTCAAAATAATTTCTTCATTGAAATTAGAGGGGGGAAGTCTCCGGAGAGACAACAATTGCGCTGAAGAAGCTGAGCATTTGGGAGCCATAAACAATCGAGGCCTAACGGTCGGTTAACTGTTATTTAACATGTAATTAACCCCGCGTTAAAAACTAAAAACAAACACTGAAAAACTGAACAGCTGAAAATGCAAATGCAAACAAAAAGTTTCAGTTCGGGTTCAGCTGAGCTGAGATAATCTCTGAAAACTCGGACTAGCCCGCAGATGTGGTGCAATAACTTTCTAACGGGGGGGTCATTCGTCTTAATTATCGCACGACTAGGAAAAGCCACAAAACCCAAGTATATTCATTAGGCAGGCCCTTAAAAAAATGCTCGGCCATAATCATATTCCCTCGGCACGGCCCAGCCTCTGAAACGCTGCCTGTCCATTGACCCATTTGCATTTGGCCAGGTCTAAGAGATCCGACAAAATTAGTGGGGGAAAAGCCATAAAAGCATAAAGAAAGCTAAGGCTGGGACGGGTTGGTCCAAGAGTTGCGTAGAAATTGTTCCCACCTTTATGGTTTGTTTGGCTTTGTTTTCAGTTCCCCGGGGTTCGTGTTTACGCACAGTTCTCCCAGCTGGTCTGGTTTCTAACACTTAATCACCGGAAGCCATCTTAGGGCATCTCCAGAAGCCCCGGCTTGATTACGAAAATCTCTTTCGAGTCTCCAGCTGAGCTCCGATTTAGATGAATCCATTTTCGTTGTGCATTTCATTAGTTTCGGATTCAAATTGGTTTACCATTTCCCGTATTATGTTTTCCCTGTTGTGTTGTGAGTTGGCCAATTAGACACGTCTCTTGTCTGCCGCTTATCTTCCACAGATATGGTAAATTGGAGCTGGCTGGGATGGATCGAGTCACCATTATGTTCGATTGAAGCAAACGGCAACTGCTATCTTTTGGGTGCTCTGATTCTTTTGTTTGTCATAGTCATTGTTCTTCTTCGGAAGCTGGAGATACTTTAGTTAATTGTTTGGGTAGCTGGAAGGTTGGGAAAATTGATTTCTCTTCCAGACAAAAGATGACGTACATAAATTATATCATTATTTGAAATGATAGGGTTATTACTATGTTTTGATGATTTATAATTTTCTTTAATAAACAGATTTTGGGGTCGGTGAACCCGATTCCGAGGATCATTCTGCATTTGACCCCCAGTGTCTATGGTAAAACGGATTTTGAAATACATAGATAAATATTAAATATTAAAGACCTTAAAAACCTAAATATGTTTTGGCTCAGTTTAGGAAATAGGATTCAGCTAGTTATAACATCGTAGAATATCTTACATATATAAATCCTTATTATATAATGAATTTAATTTCATCATATTTTATATAATTTATGACAAGTATTTCAAAGTCGATAAGAAATATTTCCTCCAACAAATGTATGCTATGTTATGGAAGTTTGCACACAGATTTAATAACCCACAATTGGTGTTATTTACAATTATTTTATTTCCACAACAGATAGAAAATGATTTAATTAATTAAAATTCCCCAATTATCTATCGATTAAGAAACTTCTTGGTCAATAGTTGAAATTATTTATGCGCAATAAGTTTCCAAAGGCAGTTACCGCATAAACGCTTAATTAAGTAAATTAACTACTTCGCGCGATAAGACGTGTAGAAACATTAAATTTCTTTAGTTTGCACTCACCTGCTTAATAAAATTAAACGGTGGCATTTTGTGGTCCGATTTGCGGCGGCTGCAATGCAAATTTCTTTATGTATTTCTATTTGCGCAGATCTAATTGCAGCTGCAATTGTTGTTGCGCCGGCGCCTTGCAAGTTGCAACTCCGAATTAAACAATTTAATTAACTTTTTCGCACCCGACTCGACTTATTTGTTGTGTTTTTATTGCTGTCACCTTTTGGCATGCGTTTTTTCCGATTTGCTTTGGCCGTTTACCGTTATGGCAAAGAGAGCGACAGAAAAGTGATAACGCGTTTGGAGTTTTTGGTTTTTTCGCAAGTCGTTTGTTTTGTTGTTGCGAAAAATTCGACTGCAACGGAAATGAGAAGGAAAAACACTTGGCGCACTTTCGAAACAAATTAACCCGAATTAACGCCAAGCGGAAGCCCGAAAGGCCAAAAGCGAATAGCCACAACGTACTGCTTCTCGGGATATACAAATACGATCTGTCGGTGTTAACTTAACCCGTGAAAAGTCGGCTTACGACTGAAACTTTATAAACTGAAAACTTCAATTGAAGCGCGGCGCCTCGATCGCCGGCACAGCAAACACATACAATACACATACAAACTCTGCCGACGTCGGCTTGAGTGAATGTGACCCTTTCAAGTTCCACTCTGACCATGACCTGGCTTTTTCAGGGTATATTAGACTAGTGGACAGTGAAAAGCGATTGTTTGCTGCTAGTTAACAATTACCAGGCGTTTGCACAGTGGCTATTAACAAAAAGTTGAGTAATTGGGGAGCATTAGCCGGGAATGCCGCCTGTGGAAAGTATGTGACGGTTTGTGGAAGCTATGTGAAACGACGGTTGTCGTGCAACATGCATGGGAAAAACTTAAAATGCAATAAAATGGTTTAAACAGCTAACAAAAATTTAATCTTTACAGGATTCCTGAATTTCAAGTGAACACTAATTGGAACGTGGACAACATTTCGTTTATAGTGGAATACATTACAAATTTGTATTGTGGAAGGCATGTGATAAACAGTATTAAATGTATATAATATTAAAAATTGTTTAAGTAAAGGTAAATATTTCTATGTCATTGAATTATCCCATTTTAAACCATGAAAAAAAGTAAATAAATTGAATGCCATTATAACAAAATGTGTGGATAATATGTGACGACATGTGGAAGATATGTATCCACATATGTACAAATGGATGGTATGTAAACCGGCACTCAAAACATAAAATGTCACTCTCCAGGGTGTCCCTTGGTGCGAATCCAAATTTCCCCTTTAAGATGGCCAAGCTTCGCGCTCTGCTGGTCACTAGTGTCAAAATGCCGACAAATACACTGCAGGCACTGACAAAGCCATAGTTGTAACCGTTCCAAACCCATCCCACCTCCATCGCGGTTATAGTTATACAAACTTTTCATGTGAGCAGGGTTCCTAGAACTCTCCGCTTGCTTTTGTAGTTCTCGCTTTTTATTATTATGGCACACACATTCCCGCTGCTCTCGCATAAGTGTCGTTAACAATGCAGAGATGGATAAGTCACAGCTCTCAGTGACGTCACTCGCTGGTGGAGCTGCCTTGGGACTGATTTTCCTCGGTCTGAGGCTTCTGATCGCTCTCCAGGAGTAAAAGGCATTCCCTTACAATCACCCTGGCTTTGGCGATGTCCCGCAGCAGGCAATCCTTGCGGGATCGTACTCCCATCGTTGTAGGCGCCAAATGGGGCTGAATTTCGGCCAGGACAGTCAATAGATCGGAGTACTTATCCTCTATATTGGCATTTTCATCGACTGCTGGAGAAGGTGTACAAGGAAGTTAAAAAAGGAGGGGTTTTTTTTAACCAAAAATAGTACCTAAAGCCGTGGGTAATATTCCGAAAAGGCAGCCATTAAATGCAGCTCCTCCGCCAGTGTTTGTTCCATTGGCCAGGATCATCCGTTGGAGCTGAGCCTGCATGTATTTGGTGTACTCTAGTTTGGCCAGCACCTCCTTGTACTCGCTGGCATATGCCAAGGCAGCTGCGCTTTGCTGGGTCCTGTGGCGCGTAGTCATCATTTGATTAACGGGTAAGTTGGTGGAAGCATTTCCTCCGGGGATTCTGGTAATCTCTACTCGCGGCTCCTGCGATTTGTCCGATATTTTGGCTTCCTGCTCGATGGTGGTTTGCTGGAGCTGCTCATCATTCTGCTTAGAGCAACTGGGCACGGCGGTCACGGTTAAGTCGCTGTACTTTGACCGGAAGGATTCTATATCAACGTAGTCCATTTTCGGGCAAGTGAAATTCACACAATGAAATAATTTGAAGCAATGACGTGACACTGACAATTAGGTCTTGTGTTTGCATAGCCTACGTTGGTTATTTGTTATTTGAAATAACTAATTAAACGTTAAATTTGAAAAAATCTTGATTTAGTAAAATATTTGAATGCTGAGTTATGAGAGTTAAAGGAACCCTTAAGTGACCATCCAGGATATAAAAAGATCTTAGCCTAAACGGTTTATTAGGAAATAAACTTTTTTAAAGAATGGAGTGACATACACGTGACTGGGAGCTCACTGAACCGGAAGAAATGCTGAGAGATAGAGAGAGGAGTGCGTTCTTCTGGTACTCTTTTTTGCCTTTTGCCCCCACAAGAATCTTTATTTCTTTCTTTCTTTTTGGGGTATCGCATGACGTGCGGGTAATTACCAGCTGCAGAACAAAACACGTTCATAAACAGTTCATTCTGTTGGCCATTCCCCCAGACCACCCCTGACCCCCGCCGGAAGCCGCTCAAGCGTGCTTCCCATTCTGTGCGCAGGCCCATGCAGCGAATAGCAGGCAGCATTTCCCTTTGGCGCACCAGTCACCCCAATTTTTCGCCATGACTCATGGAGTGTTCAAATAACAAGTCGCTCCGATCGTCAATTTAGTTGTACTTATTTCACATGCAAATTTTGACCAGAACTCGGGCTTAACAATCTTCGGCTCTTGCGTTTAACAATTTAGGGGGCTACAGGTCTGCATTTAGGGGCTAGTTAATTGCTACTCTGGTGCTGCGAACGGATGATCTCTTCCAGGTTGCGTTCCGTCTGTTCGCCACATTCGAAGCGATGGTAGTCAATGACCTCGGTGGAGTGCTCCTGCAACACTTCGCCTACCGTCTTGTCCGCATCCAGCAGATACTCCTGGTGGATTAGGCACGTCTCCTCATCCTTGTTCGCCGCTGGCTGGTCCTTGTCGTACTCGCCAATCTTCTTTGGCTTCAAGCCCACAATTTGCTGGCAGATGCTCTTGTTGAACTCATAGTCAATCAGCTTGTGCTCCGACCGATAGGCCACGATCGCTCCGTACTTGCCCACCTGGGTGATGTCCTCGATGGTGCCCACATTGGTGGGTGCGGGATGGGTATAGCCCACCAATTTTAGATCATTGTTGACCTTGAAGCACAGTGCCCGGCGAATAGTGGCGTTCTCGCCAAGGGCTCCGATCAGCAGGGCCAGGTGGTCGCCCAAAGTGCGGCCCTCTTCAGTGGGCAGATTCTTCAGAGCATCCGTATCAAAGCCGAGCTGGAAAGGGATATGTTATGTTGCCTTATATCTTACACAATGTATGTATATCTCCTCACCTTCCACAGATCCCCATCAAACTCTGTCAAATCGGTGTAATACAAGCAAACGCGGGCAACATGATCCACAAACCGCTTGAAGGTGTCGTTTCTGGCCACGAAATCGGTCTCACAGTTAAGCTCTACCATGGAACCACGATTGCCGCGAATTAAGACACCAATAAGACCCTGGGCAGTCGCCCGATCCGCCACCTTTGTGGCCTTGCTCCAGCCAAGGGATTGAGCCTGCTCATGTAGCCATTTCTCAGCCTGCAAGGATATCGTGAATTAGAGTGGAGGTGATGAAAAGTAATTTGCTGTTACGCACCAAGCTGACATCGTTGCCGTGCAGTTCCAATGCCTTCTTGCAGTGGGCGAAGGTGTAGCCGGTCTTCTTGCGCAATGCCGCCAGTGCACTCTTCTCCAGACCAGCTCCGCCGGTGGCTCCTGCGTAGAGCTGTCGGCTAGTGTGCATAGCACGCATGCAGAACCTTTGCAGCAACATTTTTTTTTGTTTTCCAGACCAATAGGAGATTACAAAACTGGACAAAAGGTGTGGGATGTGCGAGTTTGCGGACTTGTTGCTCCTAGCCTGCTACCAAGGGCAACGCTTCGGTGTTTGTTTTTCCGGATCCTGTTGTTATGTTTGTGTCTGCCCACAAAAATCAATTCATTCTAAACAACCGGAAAACGTGTGTGATTTTCATTTGTTTTCCACTCCTTCGTATGTGTGGATCAAGTCGGTCTAATTAAACGCGTTGCGGCGCGTTAAAATCAAAACCGCTTGTGTTTTGTCTAGCCTCACCGGGAAAACGACTAAGCCGGTAAGTAATATTTCACCGTTTTCCAAGTGTTTTTGGAAATCAGCAACAAAAAATTTTTGACAATTTTCCGGGTTGCACAATTTAATTAGTGATGGCAAAAAAGCCGGGACAGTCGCGTGTGCTGAACAGCTGTTTGCTGCTGCTATCGATAGTGGCGATAACAACCGATAGCTCGGTGCTTAGTAGAGACCACAACCTTGCCTTGGAGCGGGATATTTGAATTTATTTTTAAATTAATTATTTATTTATTTAACGTTATTAGAGTAGAGGGAAAAAATTGCTACATTTCTATAAAATCATGAAAATACACCAATTGCCAATTAAGCTGTTTCGGTAGGCAAACAATCTAACTACTATTCTTTAAAATTTAACGACAATCTTAACTTAGTTAAACATTTATCAGAATAAACTTTTAGATTTACATCAGAACTGACCCTTAAAAGTTTAATTTACTATCAACATTTCAACATTTTCATGAAGTTCACTTAAATTCAAACTCTATTCGAATAGGTTCCACCATGCAGGGCAGTCAGAATCCGAACAAAGAGATCCGCATCCCCAGCTTTACGTCAATATGTGGCGCCCGCCGCCTCTGCGACAAGAGCAAGATGCTTTACACCAGACCCAAGCCCGATGTGCTGCAGAGCATCCTGCAGTCCAAGGCCAATCCCGGATACAAATCGCGCCGCCTGTGGTACGAGCTGAACATGCCGGAGTGCGCCAGCTCCCTGCTGGACGGCAAGATGCAATCGGACCTGCCCGACAGCATCCTCTGTCCCAAGAATCTGCCGGCCGCGAAACGGAAGCAGAAGCGTGACAGCGCGGTGGCGAAGACCAACTACATGACCATGCGTCTGGAGCGAGAGCACTTCCGGCGCAAGCTGGTGGAGCTCATTCTGCACATGGACGACGACCAGGATCCAGAGTTGGCCGCTCAGTGTGCCATACCCTTTCCCGATCAGGAAGAGCGCGAAATTCTGCGCTATTACTACTACATAAAGCATGGCATTGACACCATCCATGTGTCTCCGTTGAGCAATAAGATCCTGAAAAGGTAGGTGAATCGATATCAAATGGTGACCCAGAATTTTCAAATCCATTTTTGTCAAATTTTGTTTTACTTAACTTTAAATATTTCGTTGCCTCCTTTTGGCCCCATTGTCAATGGATTTTAAAAATCTATACTGAATTTTATTTCGGATTAGGTTAAGTTACCAAAAATTTAAGGAAACAGTAATCTAATCTTAAAAAATTTGGATTCCATTTTTGGTAAATGGATTTTGGGTACATTCTAACCATTAATTTAAATTCCCTTTCAATTACAATTTTAAAATACATTTTTTTAAATATTTAGAAATAAAATCAATTGTAATTCCGTACATTATTGTAGGATCACCGACCTTGTTCCACCATTACTATACAAATGGCAAACCGCCCTTAATGATAACATTGCCGAGGTGCGGTCGGATTATGTGTTTGCCATGAAGAAGGCCGTCGTGGATTTCGTCCTGCGTCACACTGTCCTGGATCGATTGACTAAGGAGGGAACTGGTGGCAAATACGATACCGCCGAGCGAAGAGAGGTCAAGGCCATGACAAACTTCTGGCGATATCGGTGAGTTTTAAGGGGAAAACTCTAAAGTAAAATTTAAATATATAACTTAATAGAACATATTTTTATAAATTAAAAGGTATTATCTTCGGGGTATTTAAAAAAAAAGAGCCAGTGCCCATATTTTGGGTAGCGATATTTTTAAAAGTTGCATTTAATGAATTTCGCTGGGTTACTCCTTTGAGTATCCTCCAAAAATTATGCAGGTTTTTTTAATAAACAATAAAAATTAGTACAGTCATAAATTAGCAATAAAATCAGAAAATGAGAAACATAAAAAATATTTTAAATATTTTGGATATTTCGATATATGTATTAAAGGTTCGATATTGAAAGTTATTCATGTTATGATATTGAGCGCACTTGTAATATATCTTTCCTCTTCACCTACGTTTCTAATACCCTTTAGACTATCCTTCTTTTTTTTTTATATGGTAAAATAGCAATTATATATGTAGTATAAAAAATAACATAATAAACATATTCACAATGTTTTTGGTGTAATGCTTACACCTTTCGTTCTTCAAAACTTAACCAAAAGGCACACAATGGGTTGCCCAAATTAAAGTTGGAGCGCTCGTTTCCCGCATATATGCGAAATTCAAATTTTTTAATTAAAATAAATTATACCCGCTTGCCGAACGGGCATTGTGAAGAGGCGACGGCGACTAAAAGTGGGGAACGGAAAGTTGCCATAATTGAATGCGAGTGTTGTACTTCCCCGGGCTCCTCCCGCTGCTGCCGCGGCTCCTCATTTGGCAAAAGCGTGCAATTGACATGCAATTACGCCCACCCAAGCACTCGAGCCACCCAGCACACGAGTGGGAGTATGTGCAAATTCACGCGAGCGAATGGTGACTTTATTGTGGATTAAGAACCCAATCCGATTTTTACGAAATGAATTGCCTTTTGCGTCGGCGGAGCGAGCAAAATCTTATGAAAATAACTCAGGCTCCGGCCGCTGACAAAGTTGCCCGGTTTGCCGGCAAGGGAAAAGCAGCGTGAAGAAAATGAAAATGAAAATGAGGAAAGGAAAATAACGAAAGTCGTGGTGCGACATTATTAAAAGCTGCTTGCAATGGGGGAGAACGCGAGAAATCGCTTTGCGGCGTGCCAAAAACTTTTTAACCGCACTTTTTCAACTACAATGCCACGGAAATGGAAAAGTGGAAAAGGCTGCTGCGGCAGGAGGCGGAAGCGCGCCAGAAAGTTAAGTCCTCCTGTGTATTGGTTTGACATTTGATGAGCAACAGTAAGCTGGGCGTGGGCGGGTGCGTCGCTGGAGAGAGGCACTGAAAATCTGCTCGACATAAATTGCCAAAAGGATATGCTTAAAAATGAATTGAACTTGTTTGTTTGGGTCTCTGAGGGGGCGGGAAGTTAAGACTTTATCACCGTATTGGATCAGTGCTGACACTGTGTCTATTGTGTTCGTCAAATATAGAATTATAGACGCAATAACCAACAAGGACTTGTGAAATTATGTCATCAATCTTTTGAATTGTATGAACGTGGGAACAGTAAGCCTGCTTCTTTTGAGTGTTGAATTATTTAAACAAAAACAAATTTTCGTATGATTTTGGCAATATATTTTTCACGATTTTTAACTTCTGTTTTAGGGGATTCTAACAACCCCAAAACCTTTCTTTTTTCCTTTTTGGGGTACAAACTGGGTCGATGGGCCTATCAATATCCACATCCACATCCGCGTGAGGTTTGCTAATTTATTGCCTTCGAGCATTTGGCATCATTAAGGAGGGCCTTCAATGGCCTCGGTGGTCGGGTGGGTGGGCTCTTCTGTGGCTATGCGGCTCCTGTGGCTCGGGCTGTTGCGGTTCCCTGCACTGCTTAATGGGCTGTGACGGAATAGCTGGAGTGAAAAGTTTCCCTTAGTCTTAGTCTCTTCTTCTCTCTCTCTCTCTCGAGATAATTTGCATAAAAAGCATCGCCATCTCCACTCATCCCCTTCCACTTATCTCTCCCCCCGACAGCTATGATGAGAATCGCAACATCCTGATGAAAACGCTCTTTTGCATACACCGAAGTGTGGCCAGCATCTTGGAGCTGTGGAGCATAAAGTATAATGAGAAGTGCTTTATCGATACGAAAGAGCTTTCCAAAACCAAGACTCCATTTACATTATTTGGATTTGTGGTAAGAATTTATGTATTGTGTCAAAGAGATCTTCAGTTATTTCCACATCGATTGTTTTGAAATTAAACCTTACATTTTTCCTATCCCTATCCTTTAATACTTCTCTTGAAAGTACACATGTGGATCCCACATTGACCAAGGCAAAAGCATGCTGGAGGAGAGCTGGTATGGCGAGATACACTCCTCCTTGCTGAAGGCGAGCAAGCGTGGCCAGTTGCCGGACATCCGGCGCTTCACGCTGGTGAAGCGCTTCTTCAACTGCGTGGCCGCCCTGATGACGCAGCAGTTGGAGGATATATGCATTAGAAGTTTGAAGGCCTACGCTGATTTTATTTGCGACTACGGAGTATGCTTTAAATATATTGTTTATATTAATATATACTTATAATTAATAACTTCCGCAGCACTCAAATCCCGGCTTCGAGATCTCTGTGATGCTGGCCGACGAGGATACTATTCAGTTCATTCCCGGCTTTTCCAAAGTACAGAGCGAACTGCTACGCGTCATAGACATGATCCTCATGAGCATCCAGCAGTTGCCACGCATCGAAAGCAAGCTCTACACCGATCTGGTTGTGTCCAAGAAGATCTTTCTCACGCCGACGGTGCCGGATAGCATTGTGCAGGAGACGAAGAACCGGATTTGCGCCATGCTTGAGGATCAGCGCATCGGACCCGAGTTGAGACTGCAGGACTTTGATCCCTTTATCGATTTGATAAATGGCATTGACGCCGAACGGGTGGCCAACTTCATGGAGAGCGATGCCACCTTCGACCAGTATTCGGAAATGGTGTACGAGTACAAGGAGAAGGAGGATCGCATCGGCAAGGAAGTGTGGGCTGTGATCCGGATGGGCTTCTACGAGTTTCACCGCGAGAAGTTCATCTCGCATCTAGAAACGCTGGCCCGACAGTTGCAGTTGGATCTCCTGGCCAGGATGGTGGCCGATCAGCAGGCAAGGATCTCTCGATTAGGAAAGGAGTATGATGCCATTGCCAAGAAGGCTTTGACTATACCTAAGGATACGGCTGAGCTGATGGAACTGAAGGCCTATGTGGTGCATGCAGAGGAGAACCTTGTGCCCGAGATGGAAGCCAGGCTCAAGGTTAATATGGGTGAAATCCTGTGGCTGATGGATCACACCCTCTATTCGCCGCTGGAAATCAAGAACAACAGCAACTCCTTCCAGTGGTACCTGAAGCTTCCCTCGATCTTCGAGCAGCACCGCGCGATAATTGCGGAGAAGGTGATCGAATACCAGGAGCTGCTGAAGAAGCGCATCGAGCTCTTCCGCCGCGAACTCCAGACCTACTACGAACAGGTGCAGACCTACGA